CGTTCACTCGCCGTGCCTCCACTTTTAAGCCGAGATTGTTTGACATCCACAAATCTTTACCCCTTAAGGCTCCGTTTGGCCCAGCTCCAGCTCCCAACTCCAATTTATATAGAGCTGGAGCTATACTAAACGGTACAAATTCTTTATTTTTTGAACAGAGTTGGTAGAGCAGTTCCACAATTTTGTACTGGGGGTGGAGTTTGGTTTTTCTGCTCCACAGCTCCACTTCACCCCCAAAAGACCCACTACCCTTAAAAATGTTGATATATTTATACAAAAATACCACTAAATTACCCCTAAACTCCTCCTCCTCCTATTCTATCTCCTCCCATCCGGCGAGATCCGGCGGCAACGGCAGCGTGCGGGCTGGGTGGCAGCGCGCGGCCGGTGGCGGGTGGCGTGCACAGAGGGGCGGCGCGCGGTAGGCGGCACGGCCGGTGGCAGACGGCGCGTGTAGGGGCGGCGCACGGCCGGCAGCGGGGATTCCTTTTTTTCTTTTTTTTCAGATCTGAAGCTAAAAGATTGCCAAACACTTTTGATGGGTCTGCAACTCCAATAGGAGCTAGCTCCAACTGGAGTAGGAGTTTAGAGCTGGGAGTTCAAATTTGGAGCCCTACCAAACAGGGCCTAAGTATTTACAACTGTGCAACTTAGGTCCCAAGGCAGTATAGATCCCGGCAAAAAAAAAAGGGCAGTATAGATCCTACTTTTTCATGTTTTGCTGAGGTGGCAGATGTCTAGGCCCACTAGTCAGTCACGGTTCCCCCTAACGTGACCCCACCTCGCCTCCACCATGGTGGCCACGCACCACCACTGTCGGAACACCCCCTTCGCCCCGCATTGCCACCGTCGCCGCTTCGCCCTTCGCACCACAGCCATCGTCGCCACTTCGCAGGAGTTGAGTAGAGGCGCATTCATGGAGATTATGGCGGCCGGGGTCCCTGCACAGGGTCGGGGCGGAAGTGGGAAGAGGACACCGATGAAGGAGGGCTTGGCGGCGCGCAAAGGCGGGCAACGGAGGCGGCGTAGGCAGCCTCAAATCCCGCCGGCCGGTTCGTCACGGGAGGCCCCTGATGCCCGGTCAGACATATAGCCACATCGGCAGCCTCGGCAGGACGGGAGGCGGAAGTGGAAGGAGGACGCAGGCGAAGGTGGGCTTGGCGTCATCGGCGGTGGAGGCGGTCTCAAATTCGGCCGACCGGTTCATCCGGGTCAGACTTACAGCCGCCTTGGCAACCTCGGCGGGGCCGCTGCGGCACGCCATCTCCGCCGCCGGTGCCACCAGCTGCGGCGGCGGGTCTCTACAAAGGGGGACGCCGGCGAAGGGGGAGCTTGGCAGGCTACCACGGCGAAGTGGGAGCCAAGCTCCGACGGCCGTGCGTCGCCTGCGACGAACCAGGCAAGAGGACTAATGTAGATGGGGGAGAGAGAAGTAGGAAGGAGGTGGGGCGCGTGCGAGGATGCGAAGCAGCGGATGGGAGGAGCCTGACGGCGGCGGCTCCACGTCACGTCAATGGCGGCAGCTTCCTCATCATCGCTCTGATGTCTCTTCCCGTCCACGCCTCGAGCACGACGGTGCCTTCTCACCAGCGGCGTGCATGCGAGGAGGCAAAGCGGGGGATACTCCCTGTGTCATATCCCATCCCGTCTACGTCACGAGCGCACGATCGGCCTGCTCGCTGGCGGCGCTCGTGCGAGGAGGCGCACCCGGCATCGTTCGCCTGGCACCCGGTGCCTCTGCTGTACGTCATGCCGCAGATCATCGCGCGCCCATTGCCTAGGTCGGTGTACCGCCTATGTTGCCTCCGTTACCCGTCTACGCCGCCGCCGCATCCTCTCCACCGGCACGCCCCCTCGTGGATTCTAGGCTGCCACCTCCACAGGCGCCATTGATCCGTCGCCTTCGCGTGGTTGAGGATAAAAATTGAGAGAAGAGGAAGAAGTGGGCGCTGATATGTCAACCCCACATACTCAAAATTTCATCTCACTTACAGTTACATGTGGGCTTGTATGTATTTTATTTTTATTTTTGCTGACTAGGGTTCCACGTCAGCGAAACCAGTGGCTCATACTGCTCTAGGACTGAAGTTGTACGGTTTTGAAAATTTTTGAGGTAAATGTTTCTGATATTAAGGATAAGGGATGTCAACCAAACTCGGTGTAAAATTGAGGGATGGCGAGTGAACTTATTCCGAGGAAGGAGACACATAGAATTGGCCCAGCCAAGCATAAGGGAAACCATGTTTCTATACTCGGATAAGTCTACAGTCTTACCGTGTGAAAACGGTCGGAATGGATAGCATCTCTTCGAAAATAACACTAGATCGACCTATAATTGGTCATATTTATCATTTAAACTACTCGGTGTCAATATTAATACGATAAAAAATATTTATATATAACAAAAATATAACGGTTGAAAACGGTATCCTTTGTATGAAAACGATGTTTGATCGATCAGGAATCATGATCCATTTCGTCCCTTCTACCCAAGCTGATCCAGCCCGCAATCCAGGGCATCCATAAAGTCCGTACGTCCAGCCTTCCAGCATCCAGCCGAGTCTCCCGCCTCCCGGAGGTTTGGAAAGGTCGCCTGCACAGCTGCACTGCACACGTAGGTAGGCCAACGTATGCCTGCCTGGGGAAGTATTCGGTGCAATCATCTAATCCGGTGTAATAATATAACTTTTATCCTACACCGTTGGATCGAGAAATGGACGTCCGAGATTCGTACATGTCACCATGAGTTAAAATTTAACTTCCAGTAAATTTAAATTCATGAGTGAATCCGCGAGTTAAATTTTAACTCATGGTGACGTGGACGAATCTCGAACGTCCATTTCTCGATCCAACGGTGTAGGATGAGAGTTGTATTATTACACCGAATTAGGTGATTGCACCATATACTTCCCCTGCCTGGCAATCACCCAACTGATTAATTGGCGCGTACTCTACAGTACACTGAACGCCATCTGAGGGCATCAACCGCAGCGGCAGCGCAGCACGCCGGCACCACACGACATTCTAGAATCTCAACAGGTATACGTACACATAACTGATCATGTTAAACTTTAATTTGCTTTCATGCGTCCTCTGCGATCATCCCAACTAATCAGGTGCGAAAAAAAAATCCAGGTGCGATTTTGTGAGAGTTTCAACGGAGACAAAAAAAAATTCCATCCCTAACCTTAGTTAATTCGTAATGCTAAGTGGAAGGGGTAACTACCCCCTATATATTCAAAAATAAATAAAATCTTAATTATAGATCAAATCATATGCTTATATAGATTTAGGTAGAATTTGATTTATTTTTTTTAATTATTAGACGCAGGCAGTAACTAGCAGGCGCCGCGCAGCACCGGTGGTAAATAAACACCGACGTGCCGCAGCGGCAGGCAGGCAAGGCAGCCGGAGGCAATCCCGATTCGTATCCCGTATCCTAATCTTACGATACTACGATCCTAACAAACTGAAACGATACCGATCCACCTAGTATCCTAATTTTCATAGTATCTCGATCCTACTATTCATTACTACACGATCCTACGAAATATTAGGTGGTATCCCGACTCTACTATTCCTACTATACTACAAAATATTATTTAAAATAACATGGTTTGAAAATAATGTAACTAAATATGCTCAAATTTATATGAAAATCAATTAAATATATTAAAACCAATATGGTTTCTCTTGATAAATGTCTCTATTTGCATGACATATATCATTACTATATTTTTTATATATATAATGGCTATATATAATTAATATAAATATTAATTAAACTTAAAAAAAATCTCATGGTATCCCGATACTATGATACGATCTTACGATACGATATTACTTTGAGCAAAAAATCAATCCTGAGTTTAAATCTAGATAAACCCAGTGTCCAGATTCAAACACAGAATTAGGGTTTTTTTTTTTTAAGAAGGGAGCACTACCTAGTATCTCAATCATGACAAGCTTGGCCGCGTAAGCGCCTGCACGACGCGTGTGCGCCGCCTGATCGGACCCACACGGCGATTCTGGGCTACTCTTCCTCTCCTCACCTGACGTGCCAGATTCAAGTGAGCATGCACCAAACGGCATTACCCCATGCGAGCAACCCAACTAGAAACGCAGGCGCATGATGACGGATATCATGCACATTTGCAGCCCCACTATTTAAGCTTATACTTAAATTTATAAGTTCAAATTTTAATTTTTAAACTTAATTTTAAATTTTGTTTTGTAGTATTTTATTTCAAATCATTTATTTTTAGTCGTTAAAGACATGTATATTAAAGTTTTACTTACAAATTGTTTTTATTTTATAATAAGTGATACTTTTTCCAGTTTTTAATATTTGATGTCATTGACTTTTCGGTATACGTTTTGTCATTCGTCTTATTAAAAAAATTTATACAATTATCATTAATTTTGTTGTGAGTTGTTTTATCACTAGAAATATTTTAAGCACGATTTATATCTTATGTATTTGTATAAAATTTTTAAATAAGATGAATAGTGAAACGTATATTAAAAGTCAACGACATGATTTTAAAAAAAAGTCAACGACATCATCTGTTAAAAAAACAGAGGAAGTACTCCCTTCGTCTAGAAATAAACGCAGCCATGAGTTTCCGTGTACAACTTTGATCGTCCGTTTTATTTAAATTTTTTTTATGATTAATATTTTTATTGTTATTAGATTATAAAACATGAATGGTACTTTAAGCGTGACTTAAGTTTTTCAGTTTTTTTTTTAAAAAATAAATAAGACAAATGATTAAGGTTGGATACATGAACTCATGGCTGAGGGAGTACGAAATAAGTATATCCATAAGCGAAATGACGGGGCTATTAGAGTGGCAATACTAGCATAGCAATCTGGCAAATCCAAACGCAACGTACAAAAAAAGGATGCGTCGATTAAATGGCCCCTTTGACCCTACCCCTAAAAGTTCTTCCCGGTAGGGCAGGCCAGTAGCGGAAGCTATGCATGCATGCACGCACGCGATGGCGATCGACTAACCATCGACCCCCTTTCTGACCTTTTCTTCTGTTAACGAGAAATTGTGGGGGAGTTAATGGAGGAGGCATTGGAGTAGTTGAGCTCGATCGATGAGGAAGAAGACTAGAAGAGGAGGAGGGACGGCGGTGGTGAGTGACAAGCGCCAACCGCGATTAATGGCGACGAGGACGTGCGCCGTAATGGCGGCAGTGACCGATCGGAGAGGCTCCAGGTTCTTGGCGGTTGAGGCTGGAGGCGTCGAGGCCAGCCGCGTCATCCACCCCCTTTAAATGCTTCCCGCCCCTTCGTTCTGCTCAATCACTCGCATCCATCCATCCATCGATCGATCGATCGGCGATGGTCGCCGCCGAGGAGAACCCGGAGTCCTTCTTCGCGGCGGCGCCGCCGCTGCGGGACGCCGACGCCGTGGCCGCGAGGCTGGGGGAATTCATCGCCCGCAACTCCTCCGCAGGTACGGGGCTCCCCGCCTCCCCGCGCCACCTCTTATCCTGACCACGCACGTTAGGTGCTCGGCGAAATGACTACCGGCCCGCGTGTGTGCGACTGTGCGTGCAGCGGGCGCGGGCGGCGGCGGCAGGCGGATCGTGTGCGTGACGTCGGGCGGGACGACGGTGCCGCTGGAGCAGCGCTGCGTGCGGTACATCGACAACTTCAGCTCCGGCCACCGCGGCGCCGCCTCCACCGAGTAATCAATCGAAACGCCCTTATACTACTGTTCTATCACCTGTATATGCTTCTATTTTCTGCTGCGGATCGTCGCGAGGACCAGAGAGGCAGAGAACATTTCCATCCTGTACATTCCAGCCGTACAAAAGTTTTTCCCTTAGATCACAAGTGCTACATGCATTAATTTGTATAAGTACTCACTACTCAACTGGTTCCATCAAAATGTACGTACGCTAGGGCCATTCATGCAGGCATGCAGCATGTTTCGACATTGTTTAATGATCTTTTTAGAACAGTGAATAGTTGTTTCTGACCTGACATAGGACTAAGGTGCTCTTGTGATGACGCAGGTATTTTTTGAAGGCTGGCTATGCAGTTATCTTCCTCCATCGACGGTAATCGATTAGGAAAATTTCCCACAAATAAACTGAACCTGTTTTTATCCCCCTTTCAGTTTTGTCAATTGTTCTGTTCTACATAGGGTGAAAAGATTGTTAATTCTCAATAAACAGATTGGGGCTATGCCCTCACTGTGAAATAACCTGTATTTTACATTTTACTGCTTCTACATGTGTGCAGAGGAAGCTGCCAGCCTTATTGTAGGTTCCTCCCCGATGATTCATTCCTCAAATTCTTTGATGTCGATGCAGAATCGAAGGTTCAAGGTTGGTAACCCACAATCCTAGTGCACGTAGGAAAGGAAATGCTTCTTTCGTGAAATTTTAACTTGTGTATGTTTATACAGTGGCGGAGTGCCACGCGCCAGTGGTCAAGAAAGCAATTGGAGATTATTGCAAGGTATGGAATGAGCTTCTCAACAGCAGTGACATGCTGCTTGTGCAAAATTTAGCTGACAAGTGACTTTCTTGCAGGCAATTGAAGGCGGCTATCTGTTGAAACTCCCATTCACTACAATATTTGAATACCTTCAGGTCTTTTTAAATTTGACGTTTTAACCAGAATTACATGTAAGTCAAAACAAATTTGAAAAGCATGACACTGTATTTGATTACAGCTATTGAAGATGGTTGCTACATCTATAAGTTCGGCTGGGCCACTCGGAATGTTCTATCTTGCTGCGGCTGTGTCTGATTTCTATGTCCCTTGGGATAGCATGGTATGATTTTAAGAGAAGCATGTTATGATTGAGAAATTCATGTGTACTCTTTGTATTAAATGTGAAACATTGGGTAAAGAAACCACTGATCACAATACTGATGCTTTGATGGAAATGCCCTACATGACAAACGGGAACTTCTTTTTACTGTTCTGCAGGCCAAACATAAGATTCAGTCAGGTGGAGGCCCTCTGGATATGAGGCTCAGTCAAGTTCCGAAAATGCTTTCAGTGTTGCGAAACCAATGGGCCCCCTTGGCGTTCTGTATATCATTTAAGGTAAGCTAATTTCCAGGACCACGGAAGAATGAAAGCATTCAACACTCAATAATGCTGCCTTTGTGCACACTCTTGTCACTTTTGTTTAACTACTTGTAAAATAATGGCGGCAGTTGGAGACGGATTCGGACATCCTTATTCAGAAAGCAGATATGGCTCTGAACAAGTACAAGATGAACATCGTTGTGGCCAATTTGCTTGCAACGTACAAAGAGGAAGTCATTATTGTAACAGACAAAGAAAGGAGTACTATCCGAAAGATGAACAAGGATGAGGATCTGGAAATGCAGATAATCAAAATCCTATCACAGAATCACTCGAAGTACATATGCGGAAGCACAAACGGGTGCGTCCAGAGCCCATATTGAATTGCGGGAATCTGTACTGTACCGTTTCACATTAGAGGTTTTACTTAAATTACTCTACTAAAGAGTTTGATTTGCTTTCTGGGCGTTGAAATGAAAAGAAAGCCCAACTGAATCTGGAATGAGAATTCAGTATACGGTGTAATCCGTGATGATGCCGATAGGTACACAAACAGCATCACTTTTTTTTCTCTCTTTCAGAATTACAAAAAAGAGAGTGAAGTTAACAGCGACAGCCCCAAATATAAATGGCTTATTTTATTTTAATCAAAATTAATATTCCATGTTAATGTATTCATTCTTTAAGTTCAGAAGTTCTTCATGGACGTTGCTTCTATATCAGAGAAGAACTTCTCTTGGACTGTATCTCTCTCTCTCTCTCTGGGATTTATGCAGTCCAGGATAACAACGAAAAACCCAAGAAAATGACAGAGCTCTAAGCAACTTTACATGTCTTCAGCCCAAATTCACGAAAAGTTGAACCTGGATATATGGGGGTACAAAGTAGCCAAGTGGCCAACCAAAACTAGTTCAATAGCTGCTGGATCCCAAAAATTTCACAATTTGGCCCTTTTTGAAAACTTATTTCAAATTTGGTCCCTGCTGAAAACTATCACCAGATCTGGACTCCGAACTCAGCGCCAACCGCATCGGCGCTGAGGTCCTGACGGCTGTCTCCAAACGGCGGAGCGAGACGGCCCACGTGGTAAATGTCAGCGCCAACCGCATCGGCGCTGACCTTCGCGACCTTAGCGCCAACGGGACTGGCGCTGAGGTCGCGCCTTATCCCTCGGGGCCGAGCCGGCCCCAGGCCACTCCTTCTTCCTCCTCGCTCCTCTCGGCTGAGAAGGGGCGGCGCCCTCCCCTCTCTCTCCTCCCCTCCAAAAATCGAGTAAATATCCACAAAATCTTCGTATTTTGGAGGGGAAATCGTTGGGGGACATAGTGCCAAGGTATTCTCCTCCGAATCCTCTCGTTATTTGTCCATTTTTTACTTGGATTTGCTCATTGAGTGATGAACCCTAGAAACACGATTTGGGGTTGATTTTCTCTAATTAGTTTGTTCTCTACGTTGTGGTTATAGTAGTTGTTGGCAATGCAATGATTAGATGCGCATAGAACCGTTATATGTAGTACTATGGTGTACTTAACACTCTAGGTAGCGTTAGACTTATATCGAACTCTAGATGATGGTTGATGGATGTGATAAACTCTAAATACTGTGATGGTTGATGGATGTTCTGTGATGTGCTAAATACTGTGTGCTATATGCTGTGATGAACTCTATATGCTGTGAATTTATGTGTAGCTGGCTGTGCTTTGCTAGCCATTGCCAGACATCAGCGCCAAATAGAGTGGCGCTGAGATTGTACAGGTCAGCGCCAGAACCATTGGCGCTGAGATGCACAACATCAGCGCCAAGCTGTTTGGCGCTGAGATGCAGCCCCCCGGGGACTCAGCATCCCATCGGGAGGCAATCTGAGCATGGCCGACCTCAGCGCCAAGGTGTTTGGCACGGAGATGCAGCCCCCCCTCCCACCCGCGCCACTTACCATCTCTCAGGGGGGGTGCGCCAATCAAACTGGCGCTGGAATGGCCCACCTCAGCGCCAATGCATCTGGCGCTAAGGTTGCCCATGTCAGCAGACGCCGGTACACCGAAAGAAACGGCCGTTAGGACCTCAGCGCCGACGTGGTTGGCGCTGAGGCGTTTTATCTCAGCGCCATCGCACCTGGTGCTGAGCCCGGGGTCCAGATCTGGTGATAGTTTTCGGCTGGAACCAAATTTGAAATAAGTTTTCAAAAAGCGCCAAATTGTGAAATTTGGACTGCTGGATCTATCCTGCTCTACTAGTAGTACATCTGTTGGCTGTTGCCGAATGGTAGCGATCATCATCAGCAACAACGAAACTCGTTGTTTTTCCTTCTCACTTTTCAACTGCACGAACGCGCTGATGCACACATCTACTAACCGTGCTATGACCGATCGATTGATGCGGTTCATGATGCAGCAGCTTGTATGAGCTCTGCATCGGAAGCCACTCGTCGATCCATCACACACACGCACGTTTACTTCGTTTGATCACACGCTTTATCAACCTACTCCACATCTTCCTCAGCATTTCCACCGCTCTTCCACGCACCCTACTCCAAACCCACCAGAACCACCTGCAAATCTGAAAAGCCATCGGAAGGACGCCCAGCCGCCACGTGCACAGCTCATAGCCACAGATCAACGTGTGCACCGCCTCTCCTACCGAGTCAAACCCCCCGCAGTGGTGAAAAGGTCGTTCTACTTATAAACGATTAATTAGAAAGTTACAGTTTAACTCTTGAATGATAATTACAGTACGGCATAAAAGTTTTTTTTTAAAAAAAATTTACAGCCCATGCTACTTTCGCAAAAGCGATGTTCTATCTATCGAAAATTTCCGTGACCGTTTTCACGGCCATAGCCATCGCCGTCAAAGACAGCCACCGGGCGCAAACGCAAACGCAGCAGAGTCACGTACGTCACCCGTGGCGCGGTGACATGGCCAAGCTTCCGTGAGAGCCAAGTAGAGTAGTAGAGCGCTCGAGCCGAGCTTGAGCCCCATCTCCTTCCCTTGTCATCTTCCAGGACGTCACCTTCACTTCGCTTCGCCTCTGCTTGCGTGCCAAGTCTAAGACGAGCCTTATAAATAGGGGGCCAATCCTCTCAAACTAGCTTAATTACCAGCTAAAGCAAACCAAGAGACGAGGTATATATCTCGACGACGAGACGAAGCAAAGCAAGCAAGGTGTGATCTGATCCAAGTTTTTGGAGAATGGCGTCCATGATGGGAGGAGACTTCGTGGAGGCGTACGTGCTCAAGAACGCCTACAAGGAGAAGCTCAGGCGCATGGAGGCCGCGGAGGCGGCTGCGGCGGCGGCGGTGGCCGGGAAGAAGGACGTCGCCGCCGCCGCCGATGGCTCTGCGGGGCAGAAGAAGGCGGCTGCGGGCGGCGGGATGTTTGGGTTCATGAAGAAGAAGGTGCACCCCAGAGCGGCGGAGACGGCGCCGGCGCCGGCCATGGAAACCAGTAGCGCTTGATCGATCAAGAGCTGGCCTTCTTCCTCCCCTCCTCCTGTTGATTCCGCTCTTTTGCTACTAGTTGAGCTTGTTCCTGGGTTTAATTATATTATTACTAGTAGTAATCTCCAGCTGGCTGTTCGATAGGATGATGAAGATTGTGTAGTGTGTTCTTTACTTGTTTCTCTTCTTTTGAAGAGGTGTGTGTAACTCACTCCATGTAAATGTTGGTTCATTTGTTGCTTTCTTTACTTGAAATGGGAGTAAAAGAAAAGTAATTAAGTAAAAGAGGACTCATCTGTTCTCCATCAATTTTTGTGTCTGCTCAAATCACCATCAGTTTTACACTTTTACTCCATTCTTATGGGGACAGATGGCCTGTATGTCATTCGGTTCCTCGCATTCTTTTTTTTTCTAAGTTACTCCTTTGGCTATAAAAATTTGATGTTTAGGATAAAATCTTGGTCAAACCCTTTTTAAAGTTTAGACTTTAATTATTAATTTATATTGGAATAAACTTAGAAAATATAAAAAGTTTATAATAGTATGGTAGTATTTTTAAGACAAATCTAGGCATAACATTTTTTCGCTTTTAAATTACACATTAAGAAAATACAAATGGTCGAAGTTTTAAAAGTTTGATCAAATCATATCATAAACGTCAAAATATAGTTTATTATTTATCAGAGCTGGTATTTCACTTCAGCCAGAAGTTGGTTCACTATCTGAATTGCTATATGCGGCTATGCCCTTGCTGTTGGAATAAAGTCATATAAATGACCAAAAGCTCTACAGCAAATTTTATCAAGCAAACCAGGAAAAATAACCATATGTACAGTTCCCATTTGGAATGAACGGATCTTTAATCTATCCATGATGAGTTGATGACAGCGGCGTTAATATAAACATAGACAAAATAATGCTGTTGTCAGTTGGGGCTTATCAGTTCTGCTCCATAAAAATATAGGACTACGTACTGTTATATCATTGTCAGATTACAACTAAAGTCTTCTCTAAATAAAAGAAGAATCACCTGAAGTCAGCTGAAGATTAAAGAAAATTAAGCATTCACAGTTATATTTTTGGGGTTTGACAAACATGCAAATGATGCCAAAGTTGTGGATTACATTGATCTTCTTTCATTTTTTATTATAAACCAAAGTCATCTCCCGCACGCATTCCATCTCGAACGATCGTCATGCATGACATTTGACACTGCGCGATCCAATAAAAAAAAGTTGACGATTGAGAGTTTGAGACATCTGTTTCAACCCATAAAATGTGATCAATGAGGGAATATCTCCTGTTCCGCCACATCAACAAACTATGTAGTGCACCGTGTACGTGTGGACATCAATTGGAATGCAGTAGCAGTAGCAGTAGCTAATAAGTATATTGCATTTTAAGCAGGCAAGCTAACAAGTATAATTAGCACATGTCAATATATGATTCTTTCTTTGAGAGAGACGCTGATGGAGAAGAAAGAAAGCATGGGGACAAAACCCGGACCTGTACGCCATGCCTCCATGCCTGCCTACTTCCTTGACCTTTCCCTGAACATTGCATTGCCCATTGACATCACTGGAGTTTGGTAGTTGCAAACCAATTGTAAGGCCACACAGGAGGATGCTTGTCTCACATGCTTAAGATGTGGGTCCTCATATAGATTCATCACAGAAAAAAAAAGGCTCAAGCAGACAGGAATAAAATCCATCACTGTTCATATCCGGCTTCGTTTATGGCAGGGCAGAGCCGCAAGGGATACGGCTCCTCTTTGCACGGCGATGCCAGTCAGCATAATGGGAATGAGCTGTTCCTTTCCTTCATCACCATCTCCAGAGTTTCAGCATCAAACAACTGATGGGAGCATGAGCATCTATTTGCCACCAAATATGTGGGACAAGAGGCATCAGAATCATGCAGAGAAGATCAAAAGGATCACAACAAATTCATGGTGTACAGTTGATAGCAGAATGGATAAGGTTCAACAGCTGGAAATCTCTCCATGTGTACAAGAACACTAACTATACAGTAATCATGTATACTTATGGCCTATATAACAGTGTTTGGGCAAGAATCAACTTATACAAATCTAAATACCTGTAATCTATATATCTATCTCTCCCCTTGTCAAATTATAGATCCAATCAGTCAAAAAGATAGTTGAACCACGGGATGCCAACATCAGTAACTGAATTTATCCCACATTTAAACATCAAGAACTTGACAACTAACAAGCTCAGCAGACCCAAAGTTCTTTGAAGCCAGTATGTTCCATATGATGTTTTCTTCAGATGGACTGTTCTCAATGTTATTCTGCAATACAGCTTGCATAACTTGAAGATTGTTGTTTGCCTCTTTTGTAATAACGTGGACCTTTCCATGAAGGCCAGCAAGTAAAAAAGGAGCCTCTGCATCGGTGAAATCATGAACAGGAACCTGTGGTACAATAGTTTTCCAGGTGTCTTGTTCAGAATCATACCTTTTTATCTGGCCACTGTCCAAGGAGCTAGAAGGCTCCAACGTATAAAGTTCCTCATTCACCACAATACCTAATTTTGTGCCTGCCTGCCTTGCTGGCCATCCATCACCAAGACCATCTGCCATTGTTTCCCAAGAATTCAATTCCGGGTCATAAATTTCACCTCCAATGTCAAAAAAGAATGGCCATGAGTACAAACTTTGAGGAACATACAGCTTTCCCTTGTAGGACGCCATTCCAGTGGCGATAGGCTTCAGAACATCAGCCAAGAAAGCTGTTGGTAATACCTGTGCTTTCATGAAAGGCATTTCAGGCAACTCACTCCATATACCAGTTTTGGGATCAAAAACTTCACCTGACCGTAGAGGAAGCAAGCCATTCCGACCCCTGCTAACTCCACCGACAACATATAGCTTACTCTGCAGTAATGCTGCCTTAGAAAAAGCTCGACCTGATATCATCGGGCTCACTTCCTGCCACACATTGAGGCAAGGGTTATATCTAAATACACAGTTGAGGGCAACAGCTCTGGAAAATCCTCCAAAGACATACAAGCAACCATCAGCAACTCCAACGGAGCAACCACAAAATGGCATCTGGTCCAAACCATATCGGCGACGAAACCATCCCTTTATAAAGTCAGCAATCCTTATACTTGAGCCCACAACATTCCACGTCTGGAACCAAGAAGACTGCGTCCTCCCAGTGGATTCCTCCTCACTGACAAAAGATGGCATCGGTGGCAACCTTTGCCATTTGCGGAACAATGGATCAAGAGCATAACAATCGAGTTTGTTTGGCTCAAGTTTGGTCAGTACATACAACCACTCTTCAGTTAAGCCAAGCTCTCTTCTCAGCTGGGAAAGCTCACTGCTGGTGATTGCCGCCTTCCAAGCTTGGCTGACCAACTTCAACTTTAGGTAATACAACCGTGGTAACCTGGCTAGAATTTGAAACGAGAGTTCATCGGGAAGAGTTGGAATTATCCTCTGAAACGAATCGCACTCATATGTGGAGATCTTGACCCTCTTATTAGAACCAAATCCAGATTTTTCATGCCGGTCCATAGATCGGGCATTAATGTTTGCAGAACTTACAACAGAGCCCATCAGATCCTCCTTATCTTCAGACTCAACAAGAAATATACAGTTTCACGCCTCTAATTCCATCAGATGGCACCAAATCTGGTTTGAGAAATAGTAATTGTATGATATTCACACCAAGTTGAAACAGATACTTGCAGTGAAAAAATCCGACACTATGATTAACATGCCGTATGAATTTTTAATTAAACACTACCAGGATCAATCCAACTATATTATGAGTGTCTCTAAGAAGAACACAGCGGTCAATTTAATTCGAGAATCGTCGCCAAATTTTAAGCCTAGGACAACAACAATACAGTCGCATAAACCCCAAATACGACCCAAATTTCGTCTATGATCCAAAATAGCAAGCACACGGGTCACACCTCGACCAAATATCATTACCCTGCAGTCAGCAGTCAGTTCTCTAGAGCCTTAAATTCCACCCAAATCCAAACAGACAGACCGAAACCTAAACCCGACGGGGGCAATCCATGAACCAATTCCCACCAGAAGCGCCCCCCCCCCCCCCCACAACCCCACCCCCACCCAACTGGGGAAGCCCTCGCAGGATGAGGAGGCCCCACTGACCGCAGAGACGAGCTACCCCCCGGGATCGGGGGCGAGTTCGCGTGAATCAGGCAAAGGGAATCGGGATACCAAGGCGGTCGAGGCTTACCGCGGGAGACGACGGGGAGATCCCGCGTCCGAAGTCCGGACGAGCTCGGGGGCAGTGGCCGGCGGCGGCCGGTGGGGCTCCGGCGGAGGCGCCGCCGGGAAGGGATGGAATCAGGCGGTGGGGGTGAGGCGGGGACAGGTGTGCGCGCGCCTTTGCGTGCGAATCCGGGCGCCCCTCCTCACTGCGGGGGATCTGACGGTGCCACGACTTTGTGCGGCCCGCACAGTTCCGGACTAGGTCTGGACGGACTCGTCTCGTGTGGTGGGCTACGGAAGCTGCCGGCGACCAAGTCCAATACTGTACTGCACCGCACTGGGCTATCCGCTAGCTCTGCTCGACTACTCTACTCTCCCAATATACTCCCTTCCGTTTCAAAAATAGTTGACACCGTTGACTTTTTATTACGTGTTTGACCATTCATCTTATTTAAAAATTTAAATAATTATTTATTCTTTTCATATTATTTATTCTTTTTACATATTTCACAAATTATTTTAAATAAGACGAACGGTCAAGCATGTGCTAAAAAGTCAACGGTGTCAAACATTTTGAAACAGAGTAACTTTTTTCTTAAGCAGAGACACCCACAACACATGCACACACGCATCTCTATAAACACACACGTAAACCCTATCATTATTAATACGTCCGAAGGATTGGATCAACATATCCTGAGATAATCAATTGAGTTACGCTCACTTCGTCCCCCGAAATATATTTTAGATTTGTGATGAATATTTAGAATCCTAAACAATCTTAAATTAAAAAAAATGTTAACTACAAAGTTGTAAATCTTCTTGAACTCTACAATTTTGATAAAAAAACAATTTTATTTCATCTAGATTAATATGATATTAACAACCTTGCCGTCCTCTGGAACGGATATTTTTTTAAAAAAATTATACTCCTACTTTTGCAAATATTCGTAGGAGGTTGTTGACCGGAATTTCTCTCAAGTATTTTTACAAGCGCGTATTCATTAAATCCAACGAAAAAAAAGTGGTTCTATGAAAAATGGTTTTTTTTATAGTGATATACCATAAGAGCTTCAATATGGGCACTGCTCCGCAAGTGTGAAGCAATGTGAGTGTTCCAACTTTGAGTGATCACATCGTTTTCTTCTATGCATGACTATCAGTCCATTAGTCGATAAATTTTCTATCAAATATAAATACAATATATTCGTAATGTATTTATATTGTAACTTGTGTATAGATAAATACAATTTGTATGTAAGTTTCAAAGGTCCCACGGTAACTAGTTATTTTCATGAAGTGAAGGTCGCGAGATCCCATGCGCACACTATGGATTTTTTCCCAACTTATACAAATCTTAAAGTAAATCTAATGGTTTAAAATTATGTGGAAGTTACATGTAAGATAAAATATAATTACAATATAATTATATGTACTTATAGGGTGTGTTTGGATAATGGGAAATGGGGGTGGGATTGGGATTGGGAAATGAATGAAGGGTTAGGATTAAATGAAAGAGGGAGAATGAATGGTTAGGATTTAAAGATGCTTTTTGGTGGGTGGGAAATCATTTCTATTTCTCATTAGCCAAACATTGCCATATTTGTCAAACTCTTTAAAAAAGATCGATAAATATATAGCACAATCGATTATATTTACACAAATATCTTTTCCGCATCGATGATTGTGCCAAATTTAGAGTACATTGCCCACAGTGAGCGCGCACAGGAATGTAATCGTCTGGGTACGCGTCCATCCGGGCGAATAGCACCATCACCAGACACCAGGACAGGATGGTCCGGGCACGGGGCACCCGGGCTGGCCGTGACCACGAGGCTCTCCGGTAAGGCATTTCGTCGAACACCCTGCGCGCGGACAGGGATTCGGGAGGGAAACAGCCTCGCGTACGCGTTGAGGAAGTGGTTGGAGAGCCGCGCGCGTCCGCATCGCATCGTGTCCAGATCCGACGGCGGCGCGTGGACAACCAGGATCTGATGGCGTCACGGTGGAGAGTCACACCACTCACCAGCCTACGAGGTGCCATGGTGGTGCCACGAGGCACAACACGAGATGGTCACTCCCAAATCTTCGGCAACCTTTTTGACTTCAAAAGCTTCCTCTCCAACACAAATTCTCAAGCTCACCCAAACAAGCAAATCATTATGGTTTCACATTCACGATTCACAACAAATTTCCCTGGGAGGCGAAACACACGTAACAAATCCCATAATGCTTATGCTATTTTGTTTTACCGTCGGCGGCATCCACACGCCTCGATTCGTGGCGTCGTCTCTATCATGCGACTCTCCTCTGTCAAGTCTAAAACCTCTAAACAATACTTTTACCCAGCTTACAAACTCCGTTATCCACCTTTCTCTCCTCCATAACCACAGAACCAACAAATAGAGAACGAATTTAGCAACACAGCAGCAGCACATGCTTAATTAACTTAGTTTAACCAGTACTACTAGCTAGTAGCAGCACTAGAGCGCCAGCAAATGCAGCATCAACCTGACTATAGCTTCTCCCGCCCAAACCCGGACAATCGCGCGGCGACACGTGGTGGGGCCCAAGGGCGCCACGTCGTCACTCGTCCATGAAGTGCAACACGTCGTCCACTTCCGGATAGCTCCCGATGAGGTCGAACAGGACGTCCTGCGCCACCTCATCCACGCCGGCCAGCACCTCCGGCGGAACGGCCAGCGCCGCCGCCGCCACGTCGCACCCCTCGCCGCCCGCCTCGCCGCCGTCGGCCGCCCCCTCCTCCTGCTGCAGGCAGCTGTAGTACAGCTTCATCAGCTCGTTGATCGGGCTCCGCCCTTCCTGATCCGCCGCCGCCGCGAGCTCCGGTAGCATGACGGCCAGCTGATGATGATCGGCGCCGCCGCTCCCCCCACGGGGGAACTTCCCGCCGCCGGAGTTGCCGCTGCTGCTCCCGCTACCGCTTCTGGTGTACTCGCGCTTGCGCTTGTCCTGCGCCGCGGCGCCGCGCACCACGTCCTCCAGGCCGTCGCTGTCGTCCTCCTCGCCGCCGTCGGCGTCGAGCAGGGTGATGTGCAGCGAGGTCTTGAGGCGGCGGTCGAGGGCCTCCTCCTGGCGGATGACCTTGGACCACGTGTCGGACTCCTTGGCGCTCATCTTCTGCTGCAGCCGCTTGGACTGCCACACGAGCTTGCGCATCTGGTCGAAGCGGGGGCTCATGTGCTTGATGACGGCGCTGAGGAGGGAGACCTTCCACGCCTTCTTGAGGTCGTGCGGCTTCCGGTACGGCGGCGCGCCCTGGTGCGCCTGCGTCTCGCCCTGGGTGCCCCACCACGGCTCCTCCCCGGTCGGCCACCACGGCGGCGCCAGCCCGCGCTCCAGCGGGAAGCTGCGCTGCGGCGGCTCGCAGTGCTGGATCAGCGCCGAGAGCACGGACCCCAGCGTGCTGTCCTGGATGTCCTGCAGCCGGTGGAGGCCGCCGCCGCCCGCCTGGGGGCTGTCGCCGGCGGCGGCGGGGCCGATGAGCGCCATGGGGCCCGCGCGGTCGAAGCTGACGTTGTCCTTCCACCACCCGCGGAGGCTGTCGGAGGAGCCGGACATGGGCTGGCCGGCCTCGTCGATCACGCCGTACACGAACCCGCGCGCGTTGCAGGCCTCCATCATCTTGAGCATGTGCCGGAGGACGCCGTCCTGCGCCCGGAGCATCGCCTTCCGCCGGCACCGCGCCTCCGGCGTCTCCTCCTCCAGCTGGCCCTCCGACGACGTCCCGGCCCCCGCCGCCGCCAACCCTCCGCCGCCCCTGCCGCCGCCGCCGCCGGGGCGACCACCCTCGAGCTTCATCAGCAGCATCTGGTCCTTCCACATCCGCTTCTTGAGGTCGGAGATCTCGATCGACTCGGCGCCCGACTCGGAGTCGCTCAGCTCCTCCTGCTCCAGCTCCGGCTGCTCCGCCTCGGGCTCCGCCGCGTCGTCGCGCTCGCCGCCGCCACGGCCATGCTCGTGCTCCTCCGCGTGCTCCATGCTCCACTCGTCGGAGGAATGATGGTGCCTCTTGCCGCGAGCACCACGTACGCGATCTTCCGAGCTGATCTGTTTGTTGGTCGGCGACCGCGAGGCCATGGAAGTTTGTACATGACGGGAGGCAGAATGCATTGCACCGGCGAGAGATTTTATAGGGCGCTTTTTGTGCAGGAGATTTGGGGAGACATTTTGGTCAGTGGACTCGGGTCGCCGTCGCCGTCGCCGGCCGGGATGGTGATTGCGTGGCTAGGTCTGGGGCCCCATGGGTGTAGCCAGAGGTCATCTGGGAAGTCGAGCGTGTGTGTATTGCAGCTCAATACTACTATCGTGACCGTATACTATCTACTAAGCTAGCTAGGCAGCCGGCTATCTCTAGCTTTCCTGTAGAAGTGCAGAATTGGATGGTTTGCACTATGCATATTGCGGATGGCAGCCCTGACGATATGAGAGTGACCAGTGATAATCTATAAATCTAGTTACACCTTAGACTATGTTTAGTTCACACTGAGACTATGTTTACACACTGAAGTTTAGAAGTTTGGTTGAAATTAGAATGATGTGACTGAAAAGTTGTGTGTATGAAAGGTTTGATGTGATGAAAAGTTGGAAGTTTGGAAAAAAATTTTGGAACCTTAATTTGTTACATCTTCTATCTCATAAAATCCATAGGCGATCTTTTACATTTTGTTAGTTATAAGATCAAACTAATTGACACGATCTGAACCTAATTTTAGGATCTACATTAGAGTTAAAAATATTTCTCGGAACTTTGTGTGTTGCATCAAATTTTGATTCAACTATCATATATATGCTACTACTCTTTTTTGTTTGTGTAAGCTAGAATAAGAATGTAATCCCAATTAGTTGCGTTTGTGGATGAGCATGTGTCTAATGTGACTTAGCACACAAAGCGCATAGTAAGTTTCATGCTCGATGCCATGCCGTTGCTTTGCCCCTTTCAAGTAGATCCTCGTTAACTTCAACTCACCGGCGGACAAATCACGATGACCACAGATGGGTACAGAATAGTAGTAGAATGTATCGGATGTATACCAAGGGTTAAAAGCATACTGTTGGGAGAGGCATCGTGACATGTCTATATACTGCTATATGATAGGGAAAAATCGGTAGAGACGGAGTGCAACCATGCAATCTCCTCAACTCTGCCCCGGCTGAATCTGTGTGGACAACCTAGGGATTCAACGGCTTGCTTGGCTCGACTCTGGGCACACAGACATGAGTGTGCCTTCCAGGCCTCCCCTCGAGGATTCTACGTATACGATCCCCGATTTAATAACACAAATAGGGATGGCAATTTGTCGAGTCGGTACAGAAAAACAGAAACATATGACTTGAGACTTAGACATCTCTTGTTTAGCTCACGCCCAATAGTACGTCTTGACGAGTAGAAATTAGTATTCACCTTAATATAACTCATGGATATTACAATTTATTCGTTTAGAATATATAAATATTGTACATGTTATTTTATCATATTACTTTTCTAGTATATGCATGTGAGATGGAAAAAAAAGAATCAAGCGACGGTAATTACGGTGGTATTTGTGATATTTCTATTTTGAGAAATCTAATAAATGTTTATTTTTTTATAAACATATTAAACTAAGATTAACATAATTTGGACAATGATTTTAATGCCTATTTTTAATCACTAAAGCAATAGAAACTTAGTTGTACATGTCAAGCAACTAAGCAAGCATACATCATACTAGCTATTGGAGCCCCATCTTACATAGCTGATCTATTCTTATATTATGATCGATAACATAATTAAAGTTAAGAAAAGAATTAGATCTAAAAAATAAAAGCAATAGAAATTTTGCACGTAATTGGCATGCCAGCTTGTATAAACCATATTTATAGTAATTGCACGTAATATTTATTATTTATTTGTAAAATATTTATATTTTCAATAGATCTTTAAAATATGCTATATTTATTATTTTTTATGCAAAGAATAATCTTAACTATATATATAAACTTTAAGGCTAATTATATGGAAGAAATTAATTGAATCAAATATTTTTCGTTATATTAATTAAGCCAAAGGGCTAAAATGAAAAAAAGATGAACCCTTATCCTCTCAACCCATCACCCTATGATTTGATTCTATCCACTTAGCTCACTCAACGTGATGGAGAACAACAGCGATGGAGGCGACGCTCGAGGGCGGGGACGTGGTCCTTGGCGTTGGCGGGGAGGCAGAGGCGAGAAAGAGGCGGTGGGGGTAGGAGCTGGAGAGCGGTTGGCAAGGGAGGACGTGCTGCCCCGTCGGCCTAGAGGAGGCGCAGTGCGCGCGGTCATCTCATGCTCCTCCTATGCACGCCTAGCTTCGGGAGGCGGCAAGCTGGAGGGGAGGCACCTGCTGCTGTCCGGCCTCGTGTCTTCCTTCGCACTTGTCCTCCTGGTTTCAAGTGAGTGGAATCAATGAGCTGTTCATGTGCCTTTGGTCTTTCCTTTTGGCTATCGACCGTGAGTAAAATTGTGGGCAGGTTTAATCTCGGCTAATTTGTACATGATTGATCTGTCAAAGTATGGAAATTGTAAGATTTGTCATTTCCAGTTTTTCAGAGTGATATTGTGGGTTGTATTTTTGTTTTGAAAGAAAAATTGTGAGTTGTATTATCCTTTTCTAAAACTGAACTTTTTAGAATACTCTCTCCCATTGCACATATCCAGTGAGGCGAGCTGGGAGACAAGGGCTGGAAAAGTGGGAGCGGCGGGAGGGCGCGGAAGATGGACATCACCGATGCCGGCGTGGACGGCGTGGAGCGCGATGACGGGGTCGTCGGGTGGGGCCGGAAGTGGAGAGGAAGGGAAGCGGAGGCCGCGGCGCAACGAGTTGATTTTTCTTTTTGATTGGCGCAAAGAACAATCTTGAGGTTGCTAGCCTTTTTTTTCATTTTCTTTTCGTCCGAAGGATGTGTTTGAGGTTTGCTGGATATGTGGCGTGATTTCACTAGATGCAAACTTGCTCCAGGTTTAGCCACGTGGTCCAATGAGCTATTAAGGTTTGTACCTTGAATTCGTATATTAAGACATCCATGTCGGGCCAACATTGGTCATAACCTGATAGGTACCAAGTGAACTTTTTTTCTAAACATAAGTAATATCTTCATATATAAATAAATAATTTAACAAAGAGCAACACAAGTAACAGGCTAGCAATCCAATTAGACAAATGTCTGTCCCCATCGGACTCATGAGTACCCACAGGTACCCATATCCATGGGTAGGATTGCGATCCAACATGTTCACCTAAACCTGAAGTCATCTGAGATGACCTACAACTTAGAGTAAGACTAATAGCAAAGCCAAGTATTGACTAGCTATTATCATATCATTTATAGCAATCTAATAGCATACCTATACGATAGTTACCTATCCTACATATTACACCATTAATGTTTGGTCCTGTCTTACTAAAACAAAGCAACACATTTTCTTATAATTAATTAAATATTTACTAATTTGTTTTGAAAAATATATTAATATGATTTTTAAAACAACTTTTGTATATATATTTTTTTAAAATACACACCGGCCATTTAACAGTTTGAAAAGCTTGCGTGTAAAAAAGAGGGAAGTGAGTTGGGAAAATTGGGGGGGGGGGGGGGGAAACTCAGCCAATGTTATCTCACAATGCTTCTTGGAGTACAGGTTGTAGCTCCTTTCTTCTCTGCTTTAACTAAATACAAATCTGAGGTATCAATTAGCCTACTTACACCATATTGTTGTACCTGAACGTTCTTATTACAGACAGTACGTACCTAATCACATCAATTGTTTCTTTTTAGTTTAGAACTGGCTGTAGTGATAACAACAAGGACCAGTAATATCACACTGCATTTTGGATTTCCGCCGTAGACGACGTTGCATTATGGTGTGATTTGGTTTGACGCCTACCATCATCTCATTTGTGCCAAAATTCATTACTTAGTACATGCCTGTTGCTTCACTTCTTTGTGCTTCCTTGTTAGCCTTCTTTCATAATTGAAAAATCACATTATGCCGTTGTAGTCTTACATTTACGCTACCTTGTTAATGGCCTTTTCAAATACTTCATTTTCCGTTTGTCTCCACTTCGTCAATATCCTTTTCAAACATACCATTTTCCAGCTGGCAGTATTCTGTTAACAGCCTTTTCGAATAGGTCATTTTCATTACCCATTTAACTATTAGGAATTGGAAAAAAGAAACAAAAAAGTAAGACAACTCTAAAAATATCCATTCATTTGGCAAAAAGTTTTTATGTGGGGATATCTGTCAAAAAATGCTAGGAAAATTTATAAAATAACAAACCATGAAAATTTATAAATAATATAAATAACTGTAGGAACAAATATAACTGTAGAAAGTTTCCCTTCTTTATGTTTTTTTCGCCCTTTTTTAGGGTTTTTAACGGACTTTTTTTTCCTTAGATCACATTAATAAATTTATGTTTTTTTCTTTCTCGCAGTTTTTTGAAGGGCTTTTTTTGGTTGCGTACAATCGTACGTTTCTTCGTCTTTTTTACGGGCACGTCTTTCTGTTTTTGCTGGCTTTTTTATTACGGACTGTATTTTTTTCCCCGTGGTGTAGAAATCGGATGTTTTTTTTTCGCATTTTTTGGGCTCTTTTTTTTTCTTTTTTTTATTGTTTTGCATTGCCTACCATTGAGACTTTTTTTAGCTGTTTTTTATTTTCCGGCATTGTTTTATTTTTTGTTTGCTTTTTTGTCGCCATTTTTTTTGCATTGATTAGGAATCAGACTTCTTTTTCGCTATTTTTTATGGCATTTTTATCGGCCTTTTTTTTCAGATGGCGTATTCTTCTGGATTTTTCACATTTTGGTCTTTTTGAAAAACTTATTTCGCAAATAGACCCCTAGAAAAACTTATCCCAAAAATGGTCCTTTTTGGGACGTCAGAGTGGCTGGCGCCATCGTCCAGGACGGTGCCAGCCTCTCTGGCGCCGTCCCCCAGCCGACGTGGCGGGGCGATGCTGAGGTGGCTAGGGGGAGTGCGCCAGAGTGGCTGGCGCCCCCCCCGGAAATTTTTTATTTTTGTTTTATTTGTTTGATATTTTTTTCACGCTTAGGGACACACAAGAACCAACCATAGAAAAATTGAACTCAAATGGACGTAATATGTAACCTGTAGAATTTTTCCTCTCCTCTCCTCTCCTCTCCCTCCGAACTAGTGCAGAGGAAAGAGATGTGCAACTTTTTTATTTTTATTTTATTTTTTTGATATTTTTTTCACACTTAGGAACTCACAGGAACCAACCAGGTAAAAAATAAACTCAAACGGACGAAATATGTGGCATGTGGAATTTTCCAAAGCTCCACCGAAAAACTTCTCTCCTCGAAAACACAATCTTGCAAGCGGAATTTGGAGGTTTTAATATTGCCGAACCCGGAGAATCGGATGTAACTTTTTCTGTAGATGTCCGTGCATATATTATTTGCCTGATTCCGAGTCCGTAAGATAAAGTTACGCCTGTTTTAATAGATGACATATTTTGTCAGTTTCGATAGAGTTTTGGAAAATTCTACATGTCACATATTTTGTCTGTTTGAGTTTATTTTTTATACGGTTAGTTTCTATGTTCTCCTAAGTGTGAAAAAATATCAAAAAAATGAAATAAAAATAAAAAAATTGCATCTCTATGTACTGTTTAACTTATATATGTCATTTCATGTGGTTATATTTTGAATTAGATTAAGTAATTTCATATAGTGGTAGAGTGTATTATGTTTAACATGCTGATCAAAGGGTTTTACTAAATGAGTTATGGTCTAATTTTAGTGAAGGTGCAAAGTAGACTAAGTGGTATGCTAGCTATTTTCAGATTTAGCTAAGTGATAGTTCGAGTTTAATTTTTTTTTGTGGTTGGTTGTATCGTGATCCTGAGTGTGAAAAAACATCCGACAAAATAAAATAAAAATGACACCGTTGCAACTCCATACAGAAAAACAGGAATGGAGGCGGTGGCGCCAGCCATGCTGGCGCCCTCCTCCCTGGGGCAGCGCTAGCCATGCTGGCGCCCTCCTCCTGCCACGTCGGTTCGCGTGCGCCACGGTGGCAGGAGGACGGCGCCAGAGAGGCTGGCGCCGTCCCGTTGATGACGGCGCTAGCCACTCTGGCGCCCCAAAAAGGACTATTTCTGGGATAAGTTTTTTTAGGGGTCTATTTACGAAATAAGTTTTTCAAAAGGACCAAAATGTGAAAAATCTAGGTGTATTCTTCCTCGCTTGACTTTTTTTCCGCACGAATTGGACTTCTTTTTCGCTATTATTTTTGGGCGGAGTTTTTTCTGGGCTTTTTTTGGCCTTTTTTTTTCAGATGCCGTCTTTTTTTCGCGTGACTTTTTTTTCGCACGGACAACGGAAATATTTTAGACTTAGAAGAGACTAACGTCAGTACATAAATAAAGGAGGGACATAGGGAGTATATCTATATCTCGGGTCTCCTTATTTTGCTGGGACTTAATTAAAGAGATAATCTTGATGTATATCCTCCTGGGTAGTTTAGCTCAAGTTTGAGTAGGTCTATGCAGTAGATACCGTGAAGTCAGTCATGATTCATATTGATATATGCTGTAATTTCTAACGTATTATTTCCCCCTATTATTATAACCAGAATGCACCATCGTCAGCGCTCTCCCCTACCTACGGGCGACCAACAAGTTAAGAAATTTTTTTGCTGGCAATTGCTTTAGTTTGGCCACTAATATCTTCAAGATTGTTTGATTACGATGAGCATATTGATATATTTATATTTATCATATAACATACTCCAATAATATGAATAAATATATGATGGAAACTCACTTCGATAAAAACTCGTGTAAACCATGACAAAAATGTTGCGTAAAATCACACAAAAAAAATCTCACATGTAGATGAGATGACGGTGCACAACCATGTAAATTAAAAGAACTTGTCCAAATTCAACTTTGTTTGTGAGATTTACTTGAATTTTGTTATTTTCATGCCTCACAAATGAAGTTAAATTTGGATAAGATTTTCTACGTGGTGTTCATTACACTCTCATCTACGCGTGAGATTTTTTTTTGACGATTTTTTTATCATGGTTTATACGAGTTCTCATCTAAGTGAGGGTTTCTATGGTATATTCAATAATATGGTACTTTTTTAATACTTATAAGTTTTATTTATAAAACATAAATCGTCAAATAAAATAATGCCAAATTGTATGGACCAAGTAATATGAAACAGAAGAAGAGTGAGTATAAAATTGAGATAATGTATTCTATACCTTACTCTTACTCTAGTTCAATGATTTATTATCAGCTTTCTCTCTCTATACAATATGCCATCAACCTTATTAATATGTCACTGGGGTGAATACTTAAAAAAATACCTTAAATGCCCTTCAAGCCGTACAATGGTTGCCAATTGATTGACTCATTAGAAGTTTTGAATACATATGAAAGTTTTTCTTAGCCTTACATAATATAGAAGTTTAGAGACAATCCATTCTATGTCATTTACAAAGCATGATTTCTATAATGTACCATCGAGAAAACTCAGTTCAAATTTATCCTAGTTGTGAAATAGCAATTTTTCCTCTCTTAGTGGCGTTTGATTAACGACGATGGCATATAAGGAAGAAAATGAGTTGTTCGATGGTATATTCTAAATTGAGTTTTGTCAGTGGGAACACATGCATTGCCGATGGCATAGAATGAATTGGCTCTATATTTTAATATTTTTCTTCTATGTTTTTGTTAAAAGAACTATTTTTATGTGGCATATGAAAGAGGAATCTCTCACACACAAAAGATAGTAGGATCAGAAAAATAAAGATGATTTACATAAAAGAACATCCAACACAAGAATATTCTATTAGCATATGAAACATAAATTATATTTTCAAAAAAAATTAATGCACGCAAATTGAAAATCTTGAAATACACACTTATATTTATATATGGGGGCTATGTTAATTTGTTATATTTTTCGATACTTCTAGTGGTCAATCATTTATCAACCCTTTGATATATAACCAGCTATACACATAATCTAAATGAGAAACTTGATAGGGTCATTTCATGGTCTGATAGTTAGATTTGAAGGACAAAAATTAAAGCTCCGCTTTTTCTTGATTGTAGATTTTGGTTTTTGTTTGCACAAATTTTAAGCTTTGAACGATATGCTTCATGTACAAAAGAATCTTGAAATACTTTTTAAAGCAATTTTTCTAGTAGTTAACTTCGTTTATACTCTCAAATAACTAAAAAAATCAAATTGTCTATCCATCCATCAATTAGCTATCTCAAATGGTGACTAAATCACATGAGAGCATCTCTATCGTGAATGCAAAATCAATTTAAGGCAGAAAAAAAAAGAACCATGCACGCAGATGACACATAATGTCAGACAAAAAGAAAAATCAAACTCTAAGTTGAGATAGAACTCAGGGAGTATTAAAAAAAATTGTTTTGCATGCATGCATGCATAGAAGGCAGACACTGATTGGTTGGTTGATTCTTTCTATGGACCTCATAAATTGATTTTATACTGTATATATCGAGTTCATGTTTTATTCAGCTTTCATCGGCACAATGGTCGAACCAAATACTTAGAGTTTTTCTTAATAAGTGTTGTTTCAATTGTTCCTTTCAGATCTCTGACTACACCCACATCCCCTGTTTGCTCCTACGCTCGGGAGATTCCGTACCCGTGCAACGTGAACGACAAAGAGATGATGCAAATCTGGACCATTTTGCTTCTTTTTTTTTTTCTGTAGGATAAAGTGTTGGTTGAGCAAGTAGAGGCTTGAGTAAAACCACAAAGCATTTGCTGCGCAGACTTGGCTTAAAAACGAGCAGGCCACATGCTAGCCGTCGCAAAATGTCCTGGCTGTAAGCAACCGCTGTCAGTCACTCTGCTCTGCGTGCACATGTGCGATCGATCTACTCCTCCTCTTATACATACAACTATACAAGTTGCACTCGTGTCGTGCATGCTTGGTTTAATGGTTTCGCATAGCTTAGCTGGGCTTTGGATAGAATGGTTAGAGCAGGTTACAGTAGCATACTATAAGTCAGCTATAAATATTTTTCAAGAAAATAAAAGAGGAGAGAGAATATTAACACGCTATAGATTTATAGCCAGCTACAGTACAGATTTCAAGATATATGTATATATGACATGTAGGACCAAGTATGAATTGCGTAGTATATATTAGAGCAAGGCTAATAATACAAACAACTGCTTGCTGTAGAGATCTTTATATCCTATCTCTCACTTCACTCATATAGTGGTTAACTCTTCACTATAAATATATGGTCCACCTGTCTGTCTCACATATTTTCTTGGTTCCTGTGTCTAAGCCAGCTGTAAACTTACAATCCACTTATCATCTCTTAACTCTCCACTTTCATCCATCTCAGCATTTAACCATTTTATAGTCTTGTATTATACTTGCTCTTATAGGTATCTATTATATGATATTATATGAGTTGGTTACTAAATTGATTATAGATAATTTAGATATAGTAGGTAGCTATACTATTAAACTTTTCTTAGAAACACTTCATGATCTGAAGTTCTCAACTAAACTAGTGGAGTACTGGAGTAGTAAAGAAAACATCTCACGGTGGAACGGGATGGATCAGCGGTGCGCGCTGACTACTGGGGCCCACATGTCATCGTGACTATAGAGGCTAGAGCCATCATCTTCTTCGCCGGTTTGTTTCTTCCTCTTCTTTTTCCTCGACAAGATTTTCATGTGGCGTGGAGCGACAGAGATGAACTGGACCTAATCAACCAGTAATCACTGGACAGAAAAGAGAACCAAGCACGTGGGCCCCAGTTGTCAGTAATAATCAAGAAAACATAATTAATCACCGAAGAAAAATTCATGACGTCAATCGAATCACCTCCTGATAGAATTCCAACTTGATACTATCACCCCACGCGCGGCGACCCTGGCTAACCTCACTGCCACGCGTGCCCCACCCCAGTGGGACACACCTGTCAGTCGCAGCGAGCTACTAGACGCTCGAGCACCTGCGAAAACTTTGTACAAATTGTCCTGTAAAAATAAACAAGATTAAAGCATGCAGGAGGGCGCCTATTAAAATGGACGGTGGGTGGCCACGCCGAGGCCGCAAGGGCGCAACCGCATTTCAAAACTTGAAACGAGGGAGACGAAGTGAGAGAGAGATGGAGAGGGCGGTGCCGGTGCGGAAGACGCACGCCTCGACGGCCGGCCTGCTCAGCTGGTCGGAGTCGCCGGGCCCCGACAATGCCGCGGCGGCGGCGGGCGCCGCCGCGCCGCCTTCCTCGCGGCCCAGCCTCAAGGTAGAACAAATCGATCGCTAGCTCGCTCGTCCCCAAAGTCGTACTCGTAGCTGAGTACTAGCTGACATTGATATCGCCTTCACTTTGCTGTTTGTTGTGTTGCTTTTAGCCGGCCGGTGGGATCACGCCGGCGATGTTCGGAGCGCCGGTGACCGACCTGGAGGCCGAGGATCTGACCAAGAGGTGAGGGATTATTCGCGCCCTGATCCGCTCGATCCGCGCCTTTGCCCGTTGCCGTGCCGTGTATGCTCGTGCACTCTGCGCGCGCCGGGTGATTGATTTCCTGCACAGATTGTAGTAGTAGTATTTGGTCACTGTGATTCCAAATGATATACTGTTACAGGTAGTGTAGATTTTATGAATCTCTATCGAGAATGAGTACAGAAGGAAAGATGAATTAACTGAGAAGCGTTTGACTTAACAAATTTTTTTAATTCTGTTCTCTTGGTTTAGTAGTTAATACCTTCACATGCTAGTAGCTGGAGACTGATTTGTTTTTTTTTTCTTTTTACGCTGTTATTGCACACTCGTGCTAGTATGGACAGAGTAGAAATGTTACTTGCTACTAGGTTCCAAGTGTGCAGTGCTGTACGCATGGCATTCCATGCGCAAAACGCCGTGATTTTTCGTACTGGGAAATGATGTGCCGAAGGGTCTCGGGGGTTGCAAACGTCCATCTTAAACATTTGGGTGGTTGTGGGTTTCGTCGTCCTTGATGTGCCTGCCAACTTGTACTCACGAGATGCCATGGGTGCTACCTCTTTGTGACCCTGATGTTCTAAGGGGTAACTAGATGTTGTACTGCTTTGTTATTTTCAGATTTTATCTTTACTTGCTTTGTTGCTGGAGTCTGGACTCTGGAGAATGTTGCTGACATTGGGGGAAATATTTGACAGAGGTGTACGAGCCTGTTAAAATGATTTTCAAGCAGGAAATATGATTTTCAAATGTAAAAGATTGTAGTTTACTAGTTCTTACCAAAGCAACTTGCTACATGTTGGTCATGCTAGTAATCCTGTATTTGTCAGAAAAGATTACAAGAGAGTTTGAGCATGGAAAGTATATACAGATTGTCCATGTTTTCTGTCCGAGCTTTAGCTTTCACGCTTTTCTAGCATAAAAGAAGAATCCTGCACAATGCATACGATTAACATTTATGAAGGTGTTAAGATTGTTGTATTTTTAAATATTTATTGGCATCTTCTTATTTATCTCTGGTGGCAGGAAAATGTGCTCGGGCTCAAAGATGAAGGAAATGACCGGGAGTGGAATATTTTCTGCACAGGGTGCAAATGGAGATTCTGAAACTGGCTCCGGTGACTCTAATCCTCCCAGCAAGACATCATTAAGGATGTATCAGGTATCTTAATTCTTGATTCCTTGCTTACTACAAATAATTAGTACATGTACATGTGTCACTCTTTTGGTGCTTTTGGTATGTGTACATTTGTCTGTAATCTGAACCGAGTACTTTGTTTGAGATACAACTATCCTCTAGTTATGAGTACCAAATGTCCAAACCATCAGCCCTGTCTAAACTCTAAATGAAGTGTATTTTGCCAGTTTTTCTTGATCTTTTTCCTTATAGAGTAATATTGTGTTGTTGGTGGATCTCATTGAGAAAGTTTGATATTTTTAAACGTTTTTTGTGCATCTTTGTGCCTTTTTTTTCATGGCAGCAAACTGTAACTGGCATAAGTCAGATATCATTTAGTGCTGAGGGGAGCGTGTCTCCGAAGAAGCCTTCCTCATTGCCTGAGGTGGCGAAGCAGCGAGAGTTGAGTGGTACACTGGAGAGTGAAGCTGATGCTAAATTGAAGAAGCAGAACTCGGAAGCAAAAAGCAAGGAGCTCAGCGGGAGTGATATATTTGGCCCACCTCCTGAGATTCCTTCTAGACCCTTAGCTGCTCGTAACCTGGAGCTGCAGGGAAATTTAGATTTTGCGCTTCCACAACCAAGAAGCATTCACACTTCAGTTAAAGTATCCAATGTAAGTGAAATGAAATATATTTTGCCACTCAATGCAATATCTTTGCTAAGATTAAAAAATGTTATATTAATTTGAAATTGAGAGTAATCTTCAAGTAATAGTGATTGTCAACTGAATTTTAGTCTCTTTGCTTAGGAGAGTGCTCATTTCAGGCTTAATGTTTCCTAAATAATAAACCACATGTTAATGTTATAGTTGTTCAGATGAGATTGTTGTTAGTATTTTTTTAAAAAAAACTAAAATGCATTAACTGCTATGGAACATAAGGTGCTGTAGTGCTTTTTTATAATAGCAAATAGCCAAATGCAGTTCTGCATCTGGTGTATATTAACCTCATAATTCAATTTGATAATTGATACATGTGTAGCCTGCCGGAGGTCCGAGCAATATCATGTTTGGGGAGGAGCCGGCGGTCAAGACCGCCAAGAAAATCCATAACCAGAAGTTCCATGAGTTGACGGGCAACAACATCTTCAAGGAAGAAGCTCCCCCAGGCTCGGCCGAGAAGTCCCTGAGCACGGCGAAGCTCAAGGAGATGAGTGGCAGCAACATCTTCGCCGATGGGAAGGTGGCCTCCCGGGACTACTTCGGAGGCGTCAGGAAGCCTCCTGGCGGCGGGAGCAGCATCGCGCTGGTCTGACGACTCGCCGGAAGAGTTCTGAATATGTAGTTTGTGGCCAGTCTGTGTTTGTTGGCTGTTGTTTATCCATCATTCGAGCGAGATTTGTTAGTTGTTGCATACTCACCTAAAGGGCTGGTCATTGTTCATCTCCGAACTTCAAATACCATTCACTTCTCATCATCTTCTGCTCTGACTCGCTGATGTTGCCGTCGTTAAGAGGGAAATCAAGCGAACTTGCGTGTGCCTATCTAGTTAGTAGATTTGTTTACGTCCGGTAGTTGTTGTTGGGTTTGAACAAAGTTCGTGTTAGCAGTAAAGCCATACGGTCGATTTCTTCAATCTGAGTCTATCTTAATGGAATAGATATTCTTCACTCCCACTTCCAAAAAGAATCTTCTCAACTTGAGCTTGAGCTGGTATGTCACGTTGTTTGATTGGCATTTCCATCCACCTTTACTAGTGCTATTGATTTTGCCGAACTGAAATAGGGACGTGTATGCTATTTAGCGGGCTTGGCCCCAACAAAATCAATTCAAGCCCATCCCTTAACATCGCCGAGGCAGCCGTAGTTGCTGACTTGCTGCCTTTCCCATGGCTGCAGTGGCACCCTTGATTGAGGAGCTTTAGCCGGTGAGAATATAAAATGTTAATTTTCAGCTTACTATCCCAAAAGTAAAGCAAGCGAGGTTCACATTTTCAATTTAGTGCCGGATCTCAACTCTCGGTTTGTATGGTTTTCGCAACATTTTAATTTAGTGTTATCAGATTTATCTTCTTAAATTCAAATTCTCAAAAACCATTCGAAATTTCACTCGGAATCTACTCTTGTATTGCATTAAAACCTTAAAATTTCAATATTTCCAATCAACATTTTTTTTCTTGCCGAAAACGTGAACCATTAGCAACTTTTTAGTACTACTACTACTCCATCCATTCTAAAATATAGGGCATAACTATTTTTTAAAGGTGTTTCATAATATAAGACGTGCATGTATGCATGACAATTAATAGCACCTCATCTCTCCTAAAACTATTATTATTTAAATCCTATAATCACAAGATGTTTAATTCTATTGGGTGCATGTGTTGTATCAGTTGGGATGATTCAAACAAAGAGGTGGTAATAATTATTTCTTAGTGTTTGGGTTAAGGGTAGTTATGCCTTATATTTTGGAATGGAGGGAGTACTTTTTAAGAGCAAGTTTAATAGTATAACCAACTACTAGCTCCAATTCATCTATAGTCAATCTAATAGCTCATTCATACAATAGTTGCATACTACACTATTAATATCTGGTCCCACCTGTCATACACACACTGCGTCTTGGAGTCCGTGCTACAGCTGGCTACAGATCTTTAGTCCGTTACTCTTCTTTCTCTTTATTTATCTTCTTAAAATATGTTTGCAGCTGGTTTATAGCATGCTATTGTACATGCTCTAAGACCTCCCCTGCTCCTCCTTATTCTTGGGATCATATGAGAATGAAGGATATTCCCATAGAGACGGGCCACACAGGGATTCGGCGCAGCCAGATACCGCCACGCACGCCGAGTCGCAAATTCCCAATGCGTTTGGACACCCCGGCCGACGGAGTCCCCCCGTCCCGGATGCATGGGGGCGCCAGTAACGCCCACTGCCTGCACAGCCCTGCACCGGCGCCGGTGCTCCACTCTGCTCCGCGGGGGGCGCAGGCTTTTTTTGCCTGCGCTGCCTGCGTGCACATGTCCGCGCCATGTCAGGTTGTTCGCTGGTCGCCGTCGTCGTGGCGGCCAGCGCGGTGGCCTCCCGCGGCCACGTATCAGTGTATCACGTACTCCCCCGCGCGCGCGCCCATCGAAACCCCCCACCCCCGCGCGCGCGTCCACTTGCTGCTAGCTGAGATAGGTAGCGCGCGGTAGCTGCCAACCCGGCTCACATCACACTCGTCGCTCAGCTCAGCTCACACTCACACCGTCACACACATCGCGCTCGAACCGCCCCTGTTTCTGTTTGAGTACCCGGTTCTCCCACTAGAATACTCGTCAAAACGGGACTCCTCTTTGCCCCATTCGGTGCGCGATAACTACTGCGCGACTCGTATCCTTTCTCGCTCTCTCTGTCTCTGTCTCACTCTCTCTGTCTCGCGGTTCTCGCCTCCTCCTCCTCTCTTTCCTTTTTCCTCTCTCTGCTCCTCGTTGTTGCAGTCACCTCTCCTCTCCTTGTTCTTGCAGTCAGCTCAGCTCCGGACGCAGCACCAGGTGATTGTGTGTGTGCATCATTTCTCTTTTATCATCATCCATCTCTTCTTCTTCTTCTTCTTCGATTCTCTCGGGCTCTCGGCTGAAGCGAGTGTTTTGTCTGACAGTTTTCTCGGAGTGCCATCAGCTCGCGGGAGAGTTGCCGGAAGAGAAGCTCGCCGCCGGCGTACGACGGTGAAGGGGGAACGTACGAGCGCGAGTGCGGGGGTGTGGTGCGCCGCCGCTGTCGAGGTAGCTGACGCGGCCTCTGGAAGGCTCTCAGCCTCTCAGGCAGGTTAGAAGCTGATCTGATCCCCTTGCCTAGCTTTTTGCTCGCTTTGTTTATGCTTGGACTAATTAAATGAGGTTTGGTACGTGACGTCATGGTTCAAACGCAACTACTAGTACTACTCTTTTAACCACAAGCATTTCTTCTGGTTTTCTAGAGGGAGAATGGCCAAATGGGGGTATCGTCTAGATTACCATTCTTCTTTACATTTTAAAAAGGCCCCAAATGCACAAAAGAGAGAGAGAGAAAATTTGAGGTCAGTATTATTCTGATTCTCTACGATCATGCATGTACTCTCGAGAAGCTTTTGGTTCCATGAGCCGCGTGTCACGCAGTGGAAATTTCAGATGGCAATCGAAATGGTGTCCTTTGTGCCAAATGGCACGTTTGGATCTTCGCCGCTAATCATTTCTTTTTTTTGAGAGAAAGTATATATTTTATTAGTCGTCGCGTGCTCGATCAGGTCGCTGGCTTGACGCTGTAGCCACCCATACCGTCGTAGAACAAACCGTATGGTGCACATCTACCCCTGTCCATCACTTTCATGAACGCTGCCTAGCTTATCCTCCAAACTTTTTGGAAAAAAAAAGGATTGGAAACAAAATTGGATTATTTTTTTATAACAAAATGGTCGTGGAAGACGATTCAAGTATTCAACCCTAGAAAGGGTACAAGTGTTTGGCCCATGGAATCTTGAGCTATGTGGCTCTTGTTGCTCTGGTTCTGCAGCAAGGGGACACGCACTGTACTCCTCGGTGCAGCTCGGCCTCAAGTTTGGATGATTGGATCTCCCTTTAGATTCAGGGAAGAGTCACGTGGGAGTTCTGTGCGTAGGGGCCCACATTCAGTGGCCTGTGTTCATAAAAATATCTTCTACTATCATGCCACTGATCCTTTATAATTGTAATAATGCCATCTTCCAATCTTTTCTTGATCTACTAGTGGTCCTAGTTGCTGTTACCAAATCATGTCGCAACCCAAGGTTCTCTTGTGAAATTTCTTCTCCCCAAATGTTCAGAAATGTGTAGTAGTTAGCTAGCTATGAGGTTCTGATAGAAAATTCTGTAACAAGACTTGCACCAAGACTGAATTCATCGCTGAGGATGCGACTCCTTGCCGAAACAGCCGACGAGACAAAAACCTGAACTGAGCATTAGTAGTTTAAAACAGAGGAGACTATGATTTCCATTTAGATTGATAGATTTTCTACTCTTCAGAAAATTTATGCCTTTCTCTTGCTACATCAGGCACAATAGTTTGTAGGGAGTACAAGTAGCAGAACTGGTGTGTTTGGGATCCAATCATACGCGATGGCCTTCTTCCCTAACATTCCCGAGGCAAAGCAGGAGATTCAGTCCTTGTACAGAAATTATGCACATTTGTTTGACATGTCATCGGATAATGCCGGTGTAGACTCCCGCATAATGCGGCGCCAGCCTGCCATGTTGATAGATCGTTCTGTTTTCCTCACTGGAAGCGCGATTTGGACTATTGCCCTCCACTACAAGGCTCACATTTACAGATGGTTACTGCAGAAGTTTTCTGCCATCCAGGTTAGTATCTAAATATTGTTCAAGAGATCCTTAATTCACTTCCAGCACTACTTCTTTCTGTTCATCCTAACGCCCTAACCCAATGTGTTTCTAACTTGACAATGTGACAGGGCGCACCAATTTATTGTGCCATGATATTGCGATCCTTATGTCGACGTAGCTCCTTGCCTTTCTTTGTTGGCATTAGTGTTCTGACAGCCAGGATATATAACTACGTTACGATTCACAATCATATTTATTCCCCACAACTCTGCGCTGGCCATGACGCTAACCTTCGGAGGGATTTGTTCATTCAAGACACTGAATTGTGCAATAAGCAAACCCTCGATTCAGGTTTCCTTGGCAGCAAGCATGATTGTATCCGTCTAGCACTTCATTTTATTTGCAGCACTGCCAATTTAAAGGTTTATACAACACCAAAACAGATCGGTTTCGATGGGAAGTGCAAACAAAAGAATACCGAGAGAGGCCGATTTTGGAGGATCTTATCAACAAATGAGCAATATCTGACTTATATTGGGGCACTAGTGACACTACAACTGTTTTTACAACTGAGCAGAGCGAACATTACCACTCTGCTCCTGCCAATGCTATATCAGACAACAAGCTCCCAGCGCAATGCTGCAGTTGTCGGTAACATCGTGATTGTTTTGGTGAACTCCTTTGGCATTCTTGGGTCTGACTTCACAACAAAGCACCACGGACGGGAGGTCACATTCACCGTGAGCGCCATTCTGATGGTGTTTTGCCAGGTAACTAACTGACCAGGAAAAAAATCTCCAATATTTTCTCATCAGTTCTATGTTTCTGTGCGTACTAAACATAAAAAAATTGCTGTTCATGGTTGAAATTATAATTTGCAAGATCACAATCCCATTGCTTGTGGAAGCGCAAATCGGGCTGGGCGGTGGAACTCGGATACTGACGGGCTACACCACGGCGACATTCCTGCTCACATGCGTCGTCTCCTATGGTCTCAGCTGGTCATGGGGCTCATTGTTCTGCACTATTCCTGGTATGAAGATTCAGTCAGCTGGGCAGGTTATCGGCATGGGTCTCTGTTTCGGGCTCTGCTTCGTGCAAATGCAGTACTTCCTGCTGATGCTGTGCCGGCTGAAGAACGCCATCCTTGCATACTACGCAATGTGGATTTGGTCTTGATTTAAACTAGGATCTCAAGAGAAGAGATGGGACAGATGGCTAGATGTCTGCCCGTTTTACTGCTAGCGTTTGATGGATGTAAATATGCTCATTTTCTTTGCCTGTTCTGTACAGTTTTTGTATTGGTTGCTATCTCAGTGTAGATTCTCCCAAGCAGTTTCTGCGACTATGAGGCAATTAACAAATGTTATGCTAGTTCTTGTTGCCCTTTTTCTAAGGTTTTTGAAAGTGGCACTAGTTCGTCTTGACTGACCAATCCTGGAGGATTTAGGCTTTTCATTGGCTTTGTTAATTAATGCGAATCTTGCTTCAATCTGTCTGTGCTGAAAACTCAGCAGATTAGTGGCAATGAAAGCTGAGTAGCTGACAGACATACTCCCTTCGTCCAAAAAAAGACAAACCTTGTGTTTTCGTGTTCAACTTTGACTGTCCGTCTTATATGAAATTTTTTTATAATTCGTATTTTTATTGTTGTTAGATGATAAAACATGATTAATATTTTATGAATGACTTGTCTTTTTAATTTTTTCCATAATTTTTTCAAATAAGACGGACGGTCAAATGTTAGGCATGGAAACTAGGGTTTATCTTTTTTTGGACGGAGGGAGTAGACATCAATCATTCAGTGCATCGACCAAATACGGTGACGTTGAACTAAGTGTAATTTTAACATTCTTTGAGAAGGTTCAACATATTTTTTTCTACTCTCTCTCCTAAAATATAAAGAGTTTTAGAGGGACTAGCCAATCTGGTTATATTCGTAGCACTAGAGTGTGTCACATTCTTTTAAAATCACTTATAATATAAAATGGAGGAAGTATTATAAAACTTCATAGGTTTACCATGTTTTTTCTACTAGAAAACTTGATATCCCAAGCTGTAAAGTTTTGGTATCTACATATATTTTCTCAAGAACCGTAAAATTACACCATATTTTACGACACATTTGTTGTGCTCAATGTTGTCAATGTTAAGCCAGTGTTCTTTTCTTCTCTCTTTTTTTTAACTTCTACTTCATTTTTCGTGTGTGCAGTGATGGTTTTTTTTCAATATTTTCTATAGAAAAGTAGTTTTCAACAGCCATAATAATTTTTCGTGTTTTTTAAACTAATACTTGATTAGTCATATGTTAATCATGCAAGCACCACATGTCACTTGTGTTCAGATCTCCCACAACAACAGTCACCTCCAAATGTTCAAAGCCGAATAAACTCCACAACTTAGCATGACACAGAGTAAGGTTTAGTCACATATCTTCCTTATAAGATGTCCACGAAACACATGCACTTTTTTTGCAAAAAGTTTCTATACGAAAGTGGCTTTTAAAAAAAATTAAATTAATCTATTTTAAAAAAAAGCTAATACTTAATTAATCACGCGCTAATGGATCGCTTCGTTTTCTGTGTGAAGGGTTCCTATTGGGATCCATGGATAGCGAACACACCCTAAACAATTTGAAACTCCCATGCATAGAAATTAAGGAAGTGGAACAACCAAAAGTTATATTTTGAGTTTTAGTTCAACAACAAAAGGTGAGATTTGGAAGTGTGATAACCTGCTCTTGCTCATGTCAAGCCATAAATGATTTTGAGTTCCGGAACCAAACCGACAGGGAAAGGAAAACCGCACTCGTGGCCCCATATACAGACTATATTAGAAACTGGGGTAGCAAAAGGATACGATTAGTCGATTACACTGAGCACGGCCGCTTATTTAGTTAAAACAACGATTACTTCATCCCATGTATAAATTCCCCTTTAGCTTCTAAAAATAGCAACAAGCACTTATAGATTGGTCACTAGTCTAATATGTATATGTACTTATTATAAAAACTAGGAAGGTAGCCCGCGCGTATGCGCGGGCATGTTGTTTAATCTTGTTTGAACTTTTATTGCGAATGTTTATGTGTGGATCATATTTTTGAAATATTTGTTGACTCTATTTTAAACGTATTTTCGTTAATACCTGGTTTGGGCGTATTACTTGAAAATGTATATCCTCAAATTTATTAGAAAAAATATGTCACAATAATAGAGTTAGTTAATATCTATTTGTATTATGTGTGATTTTTTCTTTTAAATTTTTGGAGTTTCCCAACTTTATATAACATTTTTTATTGTGTATGTTATTGATGACTTTAAGTAACATTTTAATTTTACTATATATTAATGAAAGATATTTTCTATTAAAAATATAGCTAATGATACTACTTTATCTAATCAAACATAGACTTATATTACTTATATTACCTCCGTCACATAAATCGAAGGAGTTAACTTTTATCCCAAAATAATAGAAGAATTTATATGTAACTGAGAGAAAGTGATTTTTTTTAAATACTACCACGATAATCAAAGTACGGTATCATACTTTGACAAATATCTATAGGGTAGTGCATGTTAGTTCAGTGTCCGGTTTGTTTTCAACACCTATTGTTCTAATCACATGAGACACCTTTAGTAATTTGGATAATACATCTATACACTTAAATTAGCGTTATATATTCGTCAAGTGGTTTCTTACCCTAAAATGTGATGTGAAATTATTATCATTGAACGCGGTGATGAAGCCTAGAGGGGGGGGGGTGAATAGGCTGTCCCTGAAAACTTAGAAACAAATCGCAGCGGTAAAATTCAAACAGACCCGGAACTTCCTGGTAAGGAACTCCGGAACTTCCGGCTTTCCAGGCCCGAAACTTCCGGTGTTCTAGGACAGGAACTTCCGGGTAACAGAACAAAGGTGAAATTCAAATTTCGAAACAGGAGACTAAGCCAATCTTCACAAGATGGTGCACATGTATTCTAAGCAGAGGATATATCACAGAATCATCCATAGAAACATCACAGAAAGAGACAAGAGCAATTTTTTCCCGAAGTTCGGATCTTTCGATCCTACTCTCCGTTGAGGAGCTCCAAAGAGCTGGGTCTCGATTAACCCCTTGCCTCACTTGTGCAAAAACCCCAGAAGAAATCCACAGCCTTCAACCCCAAACACTCCTAGGCAAATTTCTAGAATTGAGTGAGCACCAAGATTCAACTCAACCTACTTCTAGAAATCCACCACAAGTGTAGGTTGCTCTACTTGGAAAACCTCTAGAATCTCAGCACAAGAACTTCATTAACTTACCTCGTTCCCTTTCGGAGGAGAGGAGATCCTTCACAAACTTACCCGGGACATCCACAATATGCAATGGATTCTCGCGGGCGACACCTAACCGTCTAGGAGATCATCTCCAAGAGTAATAAGCACCGAGATGACAGCCCACGAGATATTCCAAGTGCTCACACAAGTTCCTAGTCTTCACACCTCTCCAAATCTTCTTCTCTCCCTCTCAATCTCTCTTTCTCACAAGAATTAGGCTCTAGATTGAGTGGAGAAGGCAAGAAACACTTGGGAAAGGCTAGCAACAGCTCTAGGTTCGAAAAGTGAAAGTGGAATAGCCAAGGAACGACCTGGAAACGAGCTGTATATGTATAACGGCTAGGTGACGTCATCTAGCCGTTACTCACAATTTTGAACTGGAAACTAGACAGGAAGTTCCGGTCTTGGAAGACAGGAAGTTCCGAACTTCCGGATAACACTTAGGAAAAGTTCATTCACAAGACCGGAACTTCCGGACCTGGAAGACAGGAAGTTCTGGACCTGCACTTTTGGACAGATGGAGTATAAGCAAAAATGACTCCTAGGGAAACTTGACACTTGGTTCACACTAAGAGCACTTGACATATCTCAGAGCATCACCTGGAACCCCTCTTAATAGTACGGTTTTTCCTAAAAACTCGATTTCAAGAGATAAACTATCCTATGCACTTCTCGAGTTCCGGTCCGCTTTGATTTTGTACTTTTGGGGGGTCTCCAAGCATCCATCTTCCACACATTTAGACTAATGCACCTGAAAGTTACTCAATGAACTCATTAGTCCCTCAACCACATTTGTCATTAATCACCAAAATCCACTAGGGGGATTAATGCACTTTCAATCTCCCCCTTTTTGGTGATTGATGACAACATGGTTAAAGCTTACAAAAGATTGATAAGAATTTTGTTTTGAATGGTTAGAGGTGAATGAAACTCCCCCTTAATGTATGCATATGGAAGATATGAGTGAAGCTCATATGCATATATTAATGGGAGCAACCGAAGAGAGTTTCCTTCATCTGGGATGCAAATAAGCAGTAAGAATAGATATGATATGCAAAAGATACGACATGGTGAGCACTCAAAAGGATAAAATCAACATCACATCACAAAGAACAAATAAGACACTCATAACATAAAAGAAGTGTAGTATAAATAAAGAGCTGCTAAGAGTATCTAACAGTCATTACATCCACACAAATAGAGAATTATTACATGTCCATAAGATCTTAAGAGTAGAGGCCAAAGGACTGCCAGGACCGGAACTTCCGGATAAGCTGACATGAATATAAAGCGAGGGAGCTGCCAGGTCCGGAACTTCCGGATAAGAGGATCCAGAACTTCCGGATTAAACAGACAGAGCAGGCAGCAAGCATCAAAAACAAAATTTTGACCCCCTTCGATTGCAATTTTCTCCCCCTTTGGCATCAAGGCACCAAAAGGAGACAAAATCACAAGGAAAGAAGAGGATCAAGCCTCATCATCATCGCCATAAGAAGGAATGATCTCGGTGTCGCCGGAGTGAGTAGAGTCGATGTCTTGCCCGGCGGCATCCACTACCTCATCTGGATCTGTTGGTACATTCTCAGTAGGTGCATCAGACTCCTCATCATCGCTGCTCTCCTCGGAGTGAGAGGACTCCTCATTGAAGAAATGAGAAATGCCAGAGGGACCCTCACCACTAGCAATGTCTCGAGCAGTCTCATAAGCAGCAAAAGGATCAACAAACTCCTCATCATCAGAAATGTTAGAGACATCCTTGCCTGCTGCAATCCAATTTTCCTTCTGATGCCTCTCTATTTCCTTTACCTTCTTAGCAGTCTTGGCACACATACAAAAGATAGCCCTGACAGCCTTCTTTATCGGAGAAGAAGACTCAGAACGCTGTGGTGCAGCAGAGGAAGAAGGAGCAGCTGAGGTGGAAGCACGAGTTACCCTGGTAGAAGGAGTAGCTGAAGTAGTGGGAGCATGAGGACGGAAAGGCTTGTGTTGATTGTCCTTGAAATAACAAATCCCAGTCTTTGCCTCAATCATCTTCATGATATAAGGAGCATAGATGCAACCCCTCTTTGGCTCACA